TTAACCCTTTCTCTTCCGGGGCATTTTACGTGATTTTGGAGGCCTTTTGACATGACATTATTAAATTATTCCTAACTTTTTTATCCAAGGGGAAAGCTAGGCATAATGCATACCATTTTGTAGGAAATTTCTTACAGATGATTTTTTATGACTGTTTAGATACTCAACCACTGACCTTAATAGTAAAAATTGAGGTCAAAGGTCAATTAAGTGCAAAATTTTATGGAATTTTTTGATACTTTTTCATCTTTAAGCTAAATTTTAAGTATGATGTATGTTGAAATAGGAAATTTGGGATATACCCACAAAAGAGCATTATACTGTACTACATGAAACACATAAACTTTTTTTTCAATTCTGCATATAACTACTTAAAAGGGGTTGCTAAGCAACGCAGAACTCTTTAATTTTCGGGCCGAAATTTTCATTTTTTACTCATCCTAGACACATTTATGCATCCCAGCACATATAAAAGTTAGATGTGAGGTCATAAAATTATAAGGGGCATACAACAGATAAATTGTCTTAAAGTTTGACCTCATTAGAACTATTTTTAGGAGGTCAAAGGTCAAACAAGTGCAAAAGTTTCATCATTTTTTTTCAACACTTTTCAATATTCTTGCCATAATTTTACACAATGGATGCTGAAATGGAAAATTCTGAATATACTCTCAAGAAGGGATCAGAACTGCAATATCCATGCATCATTTTAGTTCAAATATCTGTTTAATGACCTTTAAGTGGTTGCTAAGCAACATCATTTTAAAGTTTTTGGCTATATACATGTTTGTTATTTCACATTCTGGACAAATTCTAGACACTTTTTGTATATTTCATGATATTGCTTGTAAGATATGGGCCATAAAGATGAAAGAACATTTTTGTATTAAAAATTGACCTTGACACTCTTGTTCTTCAGGGGGTCAAGGTCATATCAGTACAGAATTCTGCTTTAAACTGTAAGTAAATATTAATTTTGAAATGCTTCAAACATGGATAAATCATCTAATAGTTGACGTAATAAAAATGGCGAATGACAAAGTTTGCAAGCAAAGAATTCTGGTCTGCTTCTTACAAAGCCCTAGCAAAACATGTATACTATCTTTTTGTTAAACAAGAAATCCATTCTCTTGATGACATTAAAAATAATCTTTATTTTCATGGATTTAATTTAACAAGAAAAAAAAACTAAATGATTTCATTACAAGATTTTTCTGGTATAACAGAGCTTAAGGGGTACAATAAAGACTTGACATGTTATCTTGGAGGGAAATAATAATAATAGATAGCATTGGCAATATTTAATGCAAAACTGTTTAGTCAATAAGTTGAAAATTTGACGCTTATATCCAAATACACAAATACAGAAATATTGCAAGATGAATTCCAAATCAGACTGAAATCTTCAACAAAATGTTGAAGAGCACTTTTACTTTGTGTCCACTATTCTTTTATCAACTGTCATTTCTCTGTAAGACCGGGGGGAATTCTTTGACTTGTCCAAGACATTATTATTTGCTGTCAAGTACAAGTGATCAGCTTCTATCCTGTAAAAGATTTAAGTATTTTGAAACAGATACATGTCATTGTATATATAAATTTATATATTTATAGATAAAATTAAGAATGCTAAAATTACTACATTTATTTGATTTTCCTTTTAAAATTAAAATTGTATTCATTATGTGATCCAAGTAGTTAAATGATATTGTTAAGTCAATGTATCAGGACTGATAATTTAACAACTTGTAGTAAACCATCATGGTAAAATTACTGAACTAAAACAAATAGCATATATGGCAATCTGACTAAAGCCAGACCTCTGTTTACGCTATCGCAACATGTAAAAAAAATCTGGCATTAGATTGCTACGAAAGCCAGGAAGGGACACGTAAATTTTTCAAAAAAGTAATTAAAGATGATATCAAATCGAATTATACAATCTAATCCCACGGATTACTAAATTGTTCCCTCGATTTATAATATGAGATCTCGAATTACACAATCCGATCTTAAGGATTACTAATTCGCCCCCTTGATTCATAATTTGAAATCTCTAATTACTTACTGGTAATTTGTTTTCACAGATTGATAATTCAACATCTTGATTTGTTACAACGTCAGTCTTATGATTTTGGAAATCTGTGCTCTTGAATTTCATTACATATATGTACAGAAACATCCAATCATTTTAATCAATAAGTGTGTTCTATTTATTATGTTTCAGCAACCGGTCGTTTCCAACCTCTTTCATAACTAATTCAATGTATATTTATTTTAGAAATATTATGATTACACAGGACCCATATTCACTTTTACTATCTAGGACTTTCAATTATTCTAATATAGTCTGGTCCGATTTATAGAAAAAAATACTTCTAACGGCAAATAATTATTATTTGGTCCAGCATAGTTTTTTAACCTATTTCGAGTATGCTGAATCCGAAAAAATATGCTGGCCTTCGTGAAAATGGCGTTAAAGAGGTCAAAATGGCGATTC